CCAATGTGCTCTCTGTGAAAGCCTGAGAGAATGTTTTCTCTCCATGTGACTCTCCTTAGGCACACTCTACATCATCGATCACTTTCCTTTTTGGCCCCATAATCTCCTTGATCAGAAAATTTGGGACACTAGCGAGTTACATGATGTTACAATACAAGTTCTCATATGTCCTGAGTCTTAATTGACCTTGGAAGGTTAGGGCAAAAATGTTGGCTTTCCTTGCAGCCATCCTTTTTCTCTAATTTTGGTCTGCAAACTTAGGTTGTTAACCCTCCAGTTTTTGTTTATTTTTCATGAGTGCTCAGTTTTATAAATACTTTTTTTGCAACACTAAGATAATTAGGTCTGGATCTTTCTCCTTCCTTCTATTAATGGGGAGTATAAAGTGGATTTTCTTATGTTAAACTATTTTTGAATTGCAGATTAAATTTCTGCTACAATATGGCAGATAATTCTCTTGTTATAAACTTAATATAGTTGTTGTCTTGCCATTCCATCTACTTTAGGCCAGCCAGCATAAGTTGTTTCAAATTTTACTCCATATTACCTATGGCATAGTTAAATTTTTCTCTCCCTATGTGATAGGGTCTTGGTTACTTTTCTCATTGCAGAGACAAAATATCCAACACCCAAAGTTATTTGTAGAAGTTTCAGTCCACAATCAGCTGGCTCTAAAGCAGCGTGGTATGGCAGAGGGGCATCACAGAGGAGAAACAGTTTATGGTGGGCAGAGAGCAGCAAAGCAGAAGGCAGCAACAACAAATAGTAAAGTAGTGAAATAGCAAGTGAGAACTGCAGCCCTATTTTTGTTCCCTGTATTTTATCCTAGTTTCCTGCCCATAGTCTGGGTACCACTCATAGGTTATGTGTGCATTGTGTTACCCTTAATCCTAGCATCATAATAAATCAGTCCAAGAATTATACACTCCAGATTCAGCTACCTCTAAAAAGCTCCACTGATTATCACATAAGGTGTTTGGGGGACATCAAGGCCCAAGCCATAACAAATGGTTGCAGTAAAACCGGCTTGTTCCTCATCTCACTAGCTCTCAAATCTGAAACCCCTACTTGCTAGCCACAATAAAACCATTTCTTTAAATCACTTGAGGGGAAACCCCCAGTGGTTCTCACTCCCTTTCCTACCGCCTTCCACTTCTCTGGTGATAACGAAATGTTTCTGTTATTTCACACACTTGGTTGTACTCTTTCATCTCTATCTTATCAGACTTACATACCTAGAACAAGTTAGTTTCCTGGTCAGCACTGTCCTATAGAGTGTTATCCTAGACTCAGACAAGAACTGCAAAGTTTTTCCCCATTGAGAGGAAGCCAGGTCATTGGTTAGACCACATTATGCCATCTATGAAAATGAAATGTCCTACAAAAGTTACACTATAAAGATCCATGACTGCCTCCCTGGAACACACACTGAGCAGGCTAGATTTTATAAGCTGTTCTCTAGAGAAACCGTAGACCAAATCAGAGGAAAATTATAGTACCTTTTAATATGCTGAGTTTAGTTTATTAGTATGTTGTGTGGGTTTTCATTTGTTTTTGAGACAGGGTCTTGCTAACTGGTTGAGACTGGTCTTGCACTCTTTATATATATCCCAGGCTAGCCTCAAACTTGCAGCAGTCTTCCTTATCAGCCTCACCAGGGTTTAAATTACAGGCACGTACCACCATACCTGGCTTGTTAGTATGTTATTAAGGATCTTTGCATCAACATTGAAAAGTCTGTCATTTTTTCATAGTGTCTTCATATGGCTAGTATGTGAGTTCTGCCTCTTAGAAAGTGTTTCTTCACTTTTTGCAAGGTTTAAGATGGAATACCATTAGCTTCCTCTTTAATGTTTTGGTAAAATACAGCAGTGAGGCTAGAGCTTTTCTTTGTTAGGTTTATGATGACTGGTCAAATCTCCTTACTGCATATTAAGATTTTCTAAGGGTTGGCAGTATAGCTTAGCAGACGAATCACTTGCTTAGATAAATGCAGGGGCCAGGGCTCAATCCTTGGCACCACGTGCTATGCCAACCCCACCCCTGAGCGTGCTGAGCCAGCAATGGAGTCCACGTGTCGTGACGCATGCCTGTAATCACAGCACTAGGGAGGCAGAAATCAGGAGGGTCACTTTGAGTCTGACTTCCATAGTGAGAGACTGCACACATAAAAATTCTAATATTTTGATGAGAGTGTTAGTAGGTTACATGTTCCTAGTGATTTGTTCACTTCATCCAAGTTACCTAGTTTGTTGGCATGCATTATTCATGATAGTTTCTTAAAATACTTTTTTTTTAAACATAGGAAACTTTTAATGTAAGTAAGATGTTAACATGAAAGTTATTGTCAGGCTTTTCACAGCACAACATACAGAAATTTGGGAGCTTCCTATACAGAGTCTTATTCTTGAGCCAGCCATTCAGTAACATGCCAGTAATAATCTTCTACTAATTCCCAAAAGCTTTCTTCCAGCTGTTCATGTTGTGTGCTTATTTCTATTTGGTTCATCTAGTTTGTCAGTTTTTCTGGCCTGAGACATTTTCTCATCTTAGCAAGAGCTCTCTGCTTTTTCTTATAAGGGCTTCCTAGTTTTCTTTTAATATCAAGTCTGTAGCTTCTGCATTGTGCAGCACCACTCATGTCAGCCATCAGCAGTAGAATAATTTCATTTTTTATTAATTTTATTGAGAAACAAATAGCAATGAGACAGTTTCAAAACCGATTAGTAGGACAATTTCAATAATTAATGCACTGCATATTGTTGCTTTCATAGTGATTATTCATAGTACAAGATGCAGACATGATATCCTGTCAAATCACTATCAGTACAAGTCTTTCTTCACGTTGAATTAATAGAAAGTAGTTGTATGTCTATCCTAACTATTTTGTATATATAGATACAAAATGAACCTTTATTTGTATCCCCTTTTTGTTTTTAAAATACTTTTTATTTCTTAAAATCGGTAGCAATTTTTCTTTATGCATGCTGGAGATCAAACTCAAGGCTTTATACATGATAGACAAATGTTCTATATTTCATTGCTATACTTTCCATTTCTGACTTTTGAATTTTCTCTTTTTTTCTTTTTTTAGTGAAGAGTTTGCCTCTTTAATTGGTCTTTTCAAAAAACCAATTTTTGGTTTAAAGCATTTGTTCTTGTTTTTCTGTCTCCACTCTGTTTCTTTCCTTCCGCCAGCATGGGATTTCATTTGGTTTTCTACTGTCTTATTGCTAGTCTGTCTGATTGCTTCATCTATTGTTTACATTACACTGGGGATTGAACCCAGGGTCTTACACGTGCTGTTATGTCCCCAGCTCTCTTTTACATTTTGAGGCAGAGGCTTGTGTTGAATTTATGATCCTTCTGCCTTAGTCACCCACATGGCTGAAATTATAGTTGTATACCACCACATCCAGTACTTTGTTCTTAAAATTGGAGGATTAAATCTCATGTGGTGGCATCATCCTATAATCAAAGCACTCTGAGAAGCTGAGACAGAAAATCACAAAGAATTCCTGAGCCTTTTGCATTTGTGAATTCACATGTATCATCAGTTTGGGAAGTTTTTTCTCTATAACTTCTTCAAAAATGAAGTTGCCCCTTTATCTGCTCCCTCCATTTTTCACTTCCATAATGTATATGCTGGTCCACTTGATCATGTCGCACAAGTCCCCTAGGCTCAATTAACTTGTGTTCTTTTCCTTTGTACTTTTCAGAGTTGATAAGTTTATCTTTTTTTAGTTCACTGATTCTAGTTCACTTTGTCCTCATAGAATTTATAGAACCAGGAAAGGTAAGAATTGATAGAAAATACAAGTTACAAGATGGACGAGATGGCACACTCCTATAATTTCTATAATCCTTGGAAGGCTGAGGCAGGAGGATTGCTGTGAGTTCAAGGCCAGCTTAGGCTACATAGTGAGTTCAGGCCCACCCTGAATTACGTAGCAAGACCCTGACTGAGCCCCACACAGGTTATTACAGTGTAGATGTAGTATGTTCTAGTTTTGATTAAAAAGTGTGGCAGATATGTGTGTACATGTATAGAAAAAAATTACAAAAATATACACAAAAAGAATTATTTGGTTACTGAACTCTTTTAGAATATTTTGCTGAATTTACACACCTATAATATTTAAATGATGGAACCTAACAAAAAAGGGGATACAGATGAATGTCCATTTTGTATCTGTGTATTCAGAATGGTTAGGATAGATATATAGTTACATTCTCTTAATAAATAGAGGGATTTGTTCTAATAGTGTTTGTAAATAGGATATCAAGTCCGCATCTTGTACAGCAATTAACCACTAGGAAGAATGTATGCAATGTGTTAATTATTGAAACTGTCCTACCAATTTGGTTTGAAACTGTCTCATTGCTATTTGTTTCTCAATAAAATTATAGAAAAAAATGTGATTTGATTATATGTATATATGCAAATTTTACACTGCTTCTGCAGTAAAATGAAATTATATAGCACATAATCTATATGGACACATCTAATTACAGTTTTAATGTTTCATATTTTTTAAGGAGTACCTATAACATATTTAACATTTAAATTTTAAGTCTATATAAATCTACATTGTTCTGTTTCTTCATTTCTTAGGTAGAGAACCTAGATTTTTTACGGCTATTAAAGACAATTGAGGAATTCTATACAAGTGAAGATGGGGAAAATTTGGAAATTGTCTGTCCAGTTCAAGATCAAGCCTGTGTAGCTAAATTTGAAGATGGAATTTGGTACCGTGCAAAAGTCATTGGTAGGAAAGTGTATACTGCTTCTACAGAAGTATCACTTTTCAAAAAGTTTTGAGTGAATACAAATTAAATCTTGAAATGGTATCATTACCATTTGTTCTGTCACTTGTTTTTAGAAGCTAGTTATGATGTTGGTAGATAAATCTCCTGAGGTTTTTGACTTGACTAGGACTTAACTGTTGGGCAGGTGGCTAGAAAACTAATAGTACAAAGCAGCAAAAGTTAAGTATTGAAAACTAATGACATCTATCTTTATGATGTATTTGTATGCTATTTTGTCAAAGTATAAATTCATTGTGTAATTTTTTCTGTCCTCTCAGCTTCCTTTCTTAAGATAGACCTCTTTTGGGGAATTATTTAACATTTGGGGGTTTTTTTCCTTTATTTTCCTCTACCTTTTGTATATCCTCAAATCAAGTGATTAAATTCAGCTTAAAAATAATAACAAAAGTGTAGGGATTGGAAGTAGAAGGTGTATTAAAAGGTACTAGTAACAAAAAAATTGTGGAGAGTGAGAGTCCTTACCTTTACAGGCAGGGATTAGCTGTAGGGAGAGGAGGAGGTTGTTAGCAGCATGGTGTGAAGCAAGGCTGCCCTTGTCACAGACACCGATCTGTCTTTCGCCTTCTTCCCAAAGTGGGAGAGGCACAAGGCCCTTAACAGAAGATGAGCAGGTGCTGGTGCTGTGATCTTGGGTTTTCCACCCTCTAGAACCATGAGCCAAAATAAGCCATCTCTCTCCATAAATTATCCTGGATCAGGTATTCTGTTCTAGCAGTAGAAAACGGGGGGAAAAAAATGAAAGTGGACTGAGTTTTAGGCCTTCTATGTGCTTTCTGGTTGCAGCTTAGTACCTTTTAAGAAAAAGATTGAATTTAGTTCAGTTTGACACTGTTTAAAATGGTTTTTTCCATTTGTTAAATAATCTAAGCTGGGGCCGGGGAGATGGCTCAGTGGAATAAGCGCTTCCCTGGCAAGTGCAAGGGCCTGAGTTCAATCCCTGGTTCCACCCAAAAAAAAAAAAAAAAAAAAAAAAAAA